TATATATATATATATATATATATATATATATATATATATATATATATATATATATATATATATATATATATATATATATATATATATTTATTATTATATATATTTATTATTATTATTATATCTATATATATATATAAATATATATATATATATATATATATATATATATATATATATATATATATATATATATATATATATATATGATACTAATAATATAAAATAATAAAATAACGATTATACTAATAATAAAATAAATTAATAAAAATAATAACTTTAATAATACAAATTCTAAAGATTATAATAAAAAATTAATAACAATAGTAGCCATAGCAATAATAATAATAATAATAATAATAATAATAATAATAATAATATAAGTTGTTAATCAATATCAGTGATGACAAACCATATAATAAAATATAGTAATAATCAAAATATAATAATAAAAATAATAAAGATAATAATACAAAATTATAAAAATAATGATACTATTATTACTAATAAAATAAATAATAAAACAACAATATTAATAGCAATGCCCACATTAATAAGGATACTAATAAATAAATAAATCAAAAAATAAATAGATAAAAATGATAACTATAATATTAAAAACAATAACTACAATAATAAAAATTGGAGATAATAATAAAAATAATAAACAGATAGCTGTACATGTGTGTGTGATTACCCCGTGAGCGATTCTCCTCTCTATTAAGGAAAGGTGTCCGGCCTTCAGGCTGCTCAAACACAAGAATCTGGTAGCGGTGGAGTCCAGTGCCTTTAGGGGGAGTAGGGCGGGCATATGCTGATGATAAAAAAGAAGAGTGTCCCTTAACTAGTGTGTTTATTTATTAATGCAAAATGGTAATATTCTGTATAACAGAATATACAAAACAGCACTATTCTGAAATACAGCATTACTACAATTCAAAACACTAGTTTCACATTTTAATATATGTTAAAATGCCATTTATTCCTTTGATGCAACACAGAATTTTCCACATCATTACTCCAGTCTTCAAGTGTCACATGATGCTTAAAAAAAATAAATAAATAAATAAAAAACATATAAGGCCGCATTATATAATGAGGTTAAACATTTTATTTTATAATGACAATAGGGGCTTTAAAAAAATTGCCAAAGAAAAGATGATACAAAAACATATATTAAAAAAGGGTCATTCAGAAGGTGGTTTCCATATGCATTTAATTAGTGTATATTATCCTGGGTGCCTTATATTAATCCTCATTGGAGGAATTCTCTAAAGAGAGCTGGGTGTCATGAAGAAGCTGTAAAAGAAGATAAAACCTGGTGTCTGGTTAGCCTGTGTGTCGCACTAGAATAAAATCTTTTTGGAAGTTAACCTTATCTCTTGATCAGTAAGATACTCTATCTCAGATCTCAGAATTGAAATGTTGCTGCACAAACTTATTTATAATGATTTTTTCCTGTCAGTTCATTGTTGAAATATTGATCAGTGATGCATTAAAAACTAAATCAACTCTGATTGGCTGTTTTATGTGTCAGTCAGAGGTGCTGTTCTTCTCTGAGTGGGTGGTTTTTGGCCAGAATACACTGCGATGTGGACCTGACTTCTCGCCTTTTATTTGAAAGGTCTTTCTACATAAGCCTAAAAGATCCTGAGTTTAATATTTAGGTTTAAAGGTTAGTTTAACTCCAGATGTACAATTGCAGCAGTGAAATATGCATATTCAGACTCACCAGACAGTTCAGTGCCTCTGACGTCTCCTGTCTGAAGTGCTTCACCCTGCAGACAAAAGAAAAAAACACATATGAGAAATAAGCTGTTTATAATACATTTACCACTTTCATATAGTGTATAATAAAGCTGTTTAATACTGTAAATTGACTGCAAAGTTTCAAAGATAAAAATGTATGTCACAGTGTAAAACTAAAGACACTGTGACTAACAAACACACATCACATTGCACTCATACATAAAATACATACTTTTAAACATGGACCTTTGTGTTATTTGTATTGTGCATGTGTGTGTTTGTGTAATGTGTATATGTTTTTCTGTCAAGATTAGAATTGTGTTTATGTAAAAATTTCACTTATGTCAAACAATAGCCCATATCAACACTGAAATAACCACAGACACATTTTCTTTTAAACTTCATTTATTAACCAAACATAGAGAGTTTACATATACTTACCAGTTTTCATTTCTCAGCACCAAACTTGTTTAACTTTCAAACAAAGCCATTTATAAAGATTTTTCCCGACTTCACTTTGGAGCAGCCATTTTCCATGACATCATCAGGGTCACAACCCCCTGGTCAGTAAATAAAAATCACAGTTTTGTTGTTTAAATTTGTATTGGTTATTTGTTGTGTTGTATTTTGAGTTTGGTATGCATATTTATTTACTTGCATTAATTTATACTTCTGTTGAATGTCTTTTTATGTATTTTTTGTCTACATGTCAACCCACTACCAGTAAAATGGTTTAACCCAAGGGTGGGGCCAATACAATAAAATGGCCCCAAACATTCACTCTGTGTGGGTAGTTGTAGAAGAAGGTTGTGTTTGTGTCAGTATTGTTAACAGATTTTGTTCAGGTCATTTACTTGATTTAGCTGAACAAGCCTGTATATACATTGTAAATATTGAATAGTTTATTTTTCTTTATTGTTATTTTGTCACTTTCACCTTTTTGCTGGATTTTTGTTTTCACTTTGTGTAAATAAATCACTCTTCACTTTCACCAGCGGCTTCTGTGACACTTTTTTGCCTCCATCCACACGGTCAATCGTAACAATGTAAATCAATTACAATATGCCTGAAAGTTGCATTCAACTGCATTCTGCATTTCCAAGACATACCGTGTCTTGCACGTTAAAATTTGTTATTTCAAATGTAGACAAACGACAAGAACACGCAAACAGAGCAAAAAAACCAACGCTCCCGCATTTAGATGCAACAACTGAATGTCCCTGTAAACAACAGAGGACATATAGCAGATCTTGTTCTTGCTTCTTGACATGTGACTGGTTAATTGACACTTATTAAACAGTTGTCTGTAATACTTGATGCTGTTTGGTGAGTGGCGACATTCCAAGATATGTTATTCCCAGATAACAACTGCTGAATAACACCGGGGACTTCAAATCATCTTTACCATCAGTGAATACGTTCACATTTATACACTTACATGCACATTCATATTTACATGTTTGTCTGAGAGGCTGTTTTTGATAGGGGTCTCGATGCATCCATGCGCTCACCTAACCCCACCCCTACCCCTCACAGTGACCTTACTAGCCCCATTGAGTGCTTTGTGTCTGACTCTGCATCTTTGAGATATGAAGTTTGCAAATCCATGTCTGCATCTAGATACTATTGCTTTTTTGATTATTTGGCGCCCTCTTGTAGATGAATAATTCATAGCTAAGTGTATGATTCATTCAGCCTGTTTCGTTTCTGTCAGATTTGCCTTTTTGCAACCATCTTGTTATTGAATAATACGCAGGTTAGTGTATACTCCATCAGCTCCATAATGTGAAAAAAAAACATGTGACAAATGTGAAAAAAGATTTAACAAGTTTTTTAAAAATAAAAAACCTGAAAAATCACATGTGCGCAAGTTTTCACAGCTCTAAATTGAGCTCAGGTCCATTTGGTTTCCACTGATCATACTTGAGATTTTTCAGCAGCTTAATTGGATTTCACCTGTGGTAAACTCAGTTGATTGGGCCTAATTTGAAAGGCATACACCTGTCTATTTAAGGCCCCAGGATTGACAGTGCATGGCAAAGCACAAACAAGGCATGAAGACAAAGAAATTGTCTGTAGACCTCCGAGATAAGATTGTCTCAAGGCACAAGACTGGGGAAGGTTACAGAAAAAATTCTGCTGCTCTTAAAGCTCCAATGAGCACAGCGGCCTCCATCATCCGTACAGTAAGTGGAAGATGTTTGGAACCACTAGGACTCTTCCTAGAGCTGGCCGGCCATCTAAGCTGAGTGATCGGGGGAGAAGGGCCTTAGTCAGGGAGGTGATCAATAACCCGATGGTCACTCTGTCTGAGCTCCAGCGTTCTTCTGTGGAGAGAGGAGAACCTTACAGTAGGACAACCATCTGTGCAGCAATCCACCAATCAGGCCTGCATGGAAAAGTGGGCAGACGGAAGACACTCACCGTCTGGAGTTTGCCTAAAGGCATCTGAAGGACTCTCAGACCATAACAAACTAAATTCTCTGCTCTGATGAGACTTAAATTGAACTCTTTGGAGTGAATGCCAGGATTTACGTTTGGAGAAAACCAGGCAGCGCTCATCACCAGGCTAATACCATCCCTACAGTGAAGCATGGTGGTGGCAGCATCATGTGGGGATGTTTTCAGCAGCAGGAACTGGTAGACTAGTCAGGATAGAGGGAAAGATGAATGCAGCAATGTACAGAAACATCCTGAATGAAGACCTGCTTCAGAGTGCTCTTGACCTCAGACTGGGTCGACGGTTCATCTTCCAGCAGGACAATGACCCAAAGCACACCGCCAAAATATCAATGGAGTGGCTTCACAACTCGGTTAATGTATCTGAGTGGTCCAGCCAGAGCCCAGACCTAAATCCTATTGAATATCTCTGGAGAGATCTGAAAATGGCTGTACACCGTCGCTTCCCATCCAACCTGATAGAGCTTGAGAGGTACTGCAAAGACAAATGGGCAAAAAGTCCCAAAGACAGGTGTGCCAAGCTTGTGGCATCATATTCAGAAAGACTTAAGGCTGTAAGTGCTGCCAAAGGTGCATCAACAAAGTATTGAGCAAAGGCTGTAAATACTTATGCACATTTGATTTTTCAGGTTTTTGGCAACATTTTAAAAAACTCTTTTTTCACATTGTCATTATGGGATATTGTGTGTAGAACTTTAAGGAAATTAGGGATTTAATCCATTTTGGAATAAGATGATATAAAAAAAAAGTGAAAAAAGTGAAGCGCTATGAATACTTTCCGGATGCACTGTACTGCCTTAAGTGAGTGACTTAGCAAAATAATAATAATGTAATAATAAGTGATTAAATAGCCTAAATGAAAGGAACAAATTGTGCAAGTTTGTAGACACACACAAGTTGCTTATGGACTTACATATTGTAAATATTTGCTAAAATATATGTATAATATTTTTAATTATGGCATAGCTTTTCCCCCAATTAGGCTAATTAAATAATGACTAAAAAACACCCACACAAATGCTTGATCACGGACCAGTGCGAAGACAGTGGCAGAAAATATCGCCCTATCCCAGCCCATAAGTTGGGTTGAGTCAAGTCTGGGTTCAGGCTGAGAATCTAAACTGTACTTTGGGCACCTCTGATTTAGAAAGAGTGAATCTTTAAAGAAATTTCAGACACAGTATAATATAAAAAGAGCTGATGCTGCAATGAATATTATAAGCAAAAGAAAACAAACAAACCTTGAATAGATGTAACTGTAGACCACCTCCAAAACACAATTACAAACCTTTCGAGCTGTATAACAGTGGCACTTTAGCAGAACAAAAGCTACTGTGCGGCTTCTGAATGAACACAATGAGAGCCTGGGGATGTGTTGTGATTCTCTCCTTCATTCATTCATCACCCGAGGGCCACAAAACCTCAGCTTAACCGCGGCTCAGACCCAGCAGGAGCTTCACCTAACCAAGCTTAAATATGTCAATGACGGTCCCCGCAACCAAATCCGCCATATTTAATATCCTGAGACAAAAGCCAATTCCCAGGCAAATTAAACGAGCGATCGCAAATTCCCATATTATTAATTGTATATTAAGTTTCCGTTGCCTAGGAACAGAGATTCTCTCCGAGCTTTCTATGAGTTGAGTTATTCTTTTTTACTCCCTCCCCCTAAAGGGCTCTCCTATATTTGTCGAGTTTAAACCCATATCCTCCAGCAGCTTTAATACTGCACTGTTTCACTGTAAACAGCCTGCTGGAATGTTTGTCTAATGCATCTGATTCCTCTCTGCTGAGGCTGTAGTTCACACACACTGTGAGATTAAACACAAAAAGATAAAGTACATGATGAGAAATAAAAAGTGTTGTGCTCAAAACCTATTTTAAACGGGAAGTCCCCTGTGTTAAATATCTCTCATGGTTTGTTAGTAGGCGCTCTGTTATTGTCAATCAAGCAGACCATTGAGACGCACCACTCTCCGCCGCCTCCTACAGGAGGACAGAGGGACTGCAGGGACAAGCAGATTCACTTAAGGGTCAAAGATGCAATGAATAAGCTGCAAAGGAGTACTTTTATGTGGACACAGTAGTGCATTAAGCTTGACATATTTCATAATATTTTCTGCAGGATAAAAAAGGGATAGTTCATCCAAAATTGAAAAGCACCTCACAATTTTCTCAACTCATACTAAAGCTGATATAGCAATATTATATTATTCTGATGTTGCGATATTGAGTAGAATTTGAAAAAAATTAGGAAAGAATTCATAAAATTTGATCAAGTGAGATGATTTTGTAGGAGAAGTGCATCTGTGTGAAGTAGAATAAACCAATCACAAGCATTGATAAATACAAAAATAGAGCAAAGATTCAAATGAAATAAACTAATGTGTGGCAGGGGACATGGTGGCTCAGTGGTTAGCACTGTCACCTCACAGCAAAAAGGTTGCTGGTTTGAGTCCCGGCTCGGCTGGGTCAGTTGGCATTTCTGTGTGGGGTTTGCACATTCTCCCCATGTTGGCGTGGGTCTCTTCCGGGTGCTCCGGTTTCCCTCACAGTCCAAACACATGCG